TGCCAGCGTCCCAGGGCCAGCACTGGTGGGGCCCAGAGCAGGGAGGCAGGAGTGCAGAATCCTGGCCAGCAGGGGCTCTATGAAGCCGGGTCAGCTCCCCCACTCCCTGCTGGTGGCAGCCCAGCCTGGCTCCACAGACCCCTGCCAGCCCACATCTCATGCTCCTCCTGCCAGTGCTGGCCCTGGGACATTGCAGGCTCCCGCTTGCTACCACTCTCCCTTCCCCTCTCCACCCCCACATTTCCCCACTTTCCTGCCTGTCTGCCAGCCAGTCACTCTGTACTACATGGCTCCCATACCCACTTCCGTCCCCACAAACCCACATATGCAATTCTGCATATACAACACTAACACATCAGGACAAGAATATATTTTTTTTTAATTAAATTAAAAGATATTATTATGGTTGTTTGATTTTTAGTATGCAACTTGTTTTTTTTCCCCTGATCCTCTTCCCCCAAAAAATACTTCCAGGGGCAAGGGGAGGGACTTCTGGTGGCAAAGGTCAGAGGTAGGATGTCCAGTCCCGAGATGGTGACCAGGGCACCTGTCATGGGGCAGGGCTACCCATGCAGCCCTCAACACCTTGCCAAAACTCAGTAAGTGGCCCTCCGCCCAAAATAATTGCCCACCCCTGGGCTATAGTGTAGCCCCACATCAGCAGAATCAGAATCAAATTGCTTCTGTAACTAGTGAGGGAGGGGAAAAGAGAATCCTTCAAAACTATTCAGGTGACTAGAATTAGTTTAAATATGTGCGAGTTCAGTGACTCTATAACTTTGTTGCTTGCTTATGTTTTTAGTCCTGGCTAGTTTATAAACATTTATAAGTACAGCCTACTGCTATGCAGCAGGTCAGAAAAACACTTGTTCCATCATGACGTTATCTTCTTTAATGGGATAAAAATAGACATGAGGACATATGGGGGAAAAAAGATATGCAGTTTAGTTTGTATACTTTCTTTACACTGTAAAGCATGAGTAATAACTTACTCTTTCTGTTGTATGAAACAATTCACTTTCAAGAAGCTGAGCAGCAGTTGGTCTCTGTGATGATACTTTACTGGTTAGTAGCTTAATATACTTAGCTTCTACTGGCCATTCTCTGCTAAAGCTACTTTGAATGTGACCATTCCTCAACTCTGTTAGAACTTCAATTCTCTCCATTTCTGTTCCAAACGGCTGAAAGAGTTCTAAGAGAATTACACCCAGACTGTACATGTCTGACTGCAAGAAGAGAAAATAATTGTATTAGCTGATTTGAAATATCTTTAATTCAAAGATGCCTATTTTGTAGTTTGTTCAAGAATCTTTAGTGTTTATTTGAATGGCCTCATTACAGGAAGTGCAAAAAGAATGTCAGGACTGGAACCCATAGCATACCAATTAACACAGAAAATTTATAAGCTAGTTTAAATCCAGTAGGCTTTGATTTGGTTCCTCTTAACTATCAAAATCATACTTTTAAACATACAGGCAGTCCTTGACTTATGGCATTTTGACTTAGGGCGATTCAAATGTGCAACGCTCCGCCATTTATACCCATGGTATTACTTACAGCGCTGGATCCTTGCACTTACGGCACTACAGGGAAATTTACAATGAGAAAAAGAGGGCAGCAAAACAAACATCCCTGGATCAGTTTCTCAAAAAGCCATCAAGTGGCCCTAAGTCTCCCCAAAAATCTCCCCAAGAAGCCCTTCTGAATTCCATGACCCTGATGGTGTTCCTTCACCTTCTGATTAAATCAAATTTTATGTGATTAGTTACTGTATTGACCTGTTTAATCGATTTATATACAGTACACTTTAGAAAGCTTTTGTACTGTACAGGGTGTATCATTTATAGTTGATTAAATAGTTGATTTAAATACAGAGTTTACAGTCATTTCTGTAAAAAGTTGGGCATCAGGCCCTTGGTCAGGAACATAACCCCCTATTATAACATTGTTTCTATGGGAAAATCAGATTCAACTTACACCATTTAGACTTACAGCACCTTTTCCAGGAACGTAACCTGCCATAAGTGCAAGGACTGCCTGTATATAAATCTGTTTTATTTAAAAAAATGTAAGAGTAATGTAACTTAAAATTGGTCCAGGGGGAGGGGCGAGGGGGGACCGACAAAATCTAGCTGATTGCAGTACATATCTAAGCTACAAATGTTGGGGTCACTTGGGCTAGGGACAGAAATTACACACAAACCAGTATAAGTGATCAGAAACCAGTTCAAATCTAAGTGCACATAAACTGCTTTTAAAATGGCTGAAACTGGTTTAAGATAAACCTGGATGGATGTAGTATCAGACTTAACTGATTTAGGTTAAATAGGTGTATTGAACTTCTATCCCAGATCCCCTCCAGATTCAAGTTAACTCACAGTCCCCTGGCATCCCAGGATGCTTTGAACCTAGCCCGCAAGTCCCCCTCCTTGGCCCAAGCTGTCTGTTCCAGCTGAACAGGGAGGTGTGCTCTAGTGCCCCCTGGCTTCTGGCCTAGGCCACTGCAGGCATGTGGCTGCATTTCTGGAATCAAAAACGAATGTGTGTTCACTTGCTTATCAGTTCAATCTGCACAGCCTAGTCTAACCTGTGAAGATTGAATAGATTCAGCCTCAGGCTTCTTGACTGTCTGTACTTAGCTGTAATGCGTCATGGAAAAGTATGTTTAACCAGATGCTTTGTGTAACAATCACTACCTTGAAATCATACTGAGATCCTTGCAGCTGTTCTGGTGATGCATACAGGCAAGTACCCACTCCTGAAGTGTGTCTTAGTCCTACAACAAATAATTGATTTATACAGCTTTAATTACAAAAACCGATAAAGACTAATATTTTCAGCAATACACTGCTTATTTTTATTTTGAAAACCTACTGTGTTTTTCTTCATTATATTTTTCCCCTTTTGTCTCAAACCAGTGGTCTGTGTCTTCCTGTAGGATCTCTCTGCAGGCTAGCCCAAAATCTCCGATTTTCACTTGATGGTCTGATCCATATAGAAAGATATTTCTGGGCTACAAGAAAAGACATTTTTATTTTAAAAGAAAATTGTAGAAGCATGAAATCCCATACAACTATTTCACAATTTTAGGTATCCTATATACTTTTTAGGGATCTAAACTTAAACAAGACATTACATCAGTAATTATTTATTTCATCAGTAATTATTTATCATTCATGACTTAAGAAAAAACATGCGACTAAGAGCACCAAGCTAGGTTTTACAAACACTAATAGAACAAGAAAGCAATACTGAGGGAGCTAGAGAAAAATGAATATGTGAATAAAATGCAAGCTTGTAATGGGAATACAAAACATAACTATAATATAATAGGAGGGAGAAAACAAAGGACTGTTAAGAGAAATTTAAGGTGATTGTGGACAAATGTGAGTGTATGCTATATAATGTGGTGACCAAAAACTGTATTTAAGATGTCTTTGAACTCTATGTATACGGAAGTGTAACAGAATAGAAAAAGAAGTCCCAGTCACCAGTCATATTGAGAAGATCTGGAACAGTGTATGTAATCACAGCAACCCATTGAAAAGACACCAAGAAACCGGGGAGATTTCAAATGACAGCAAGTGATAGGGAACCAGAAAACACTAACATGAAAACATTAAACTATGTTGATTTGCCATTTGGTTATGTGACTGTTTGAGCATAGGCACATGCTAGTCAATCATTTGTAAATGTATAAGAGTTGAAAGCAAGTATGGAAAAGGATTTTTTAGGGTATTTTATGTGCACAGAATAAAGAGCAAAATAGTGTGAAATTCAGTAGAAAAGTTAGACTGTATACCAAAAAATCTGCACACCAAACTATTAGGATGTGGAAGTTGCCCAAAAATGGAAACAAAAGGCCCATTACTTGATACAGATGTGCTGCACAGATGATTCCTATGCCAGTAAATAGAAATACAGTAATTGAAGGTATCTCCCATCTTTAATCTTGGATTATTTTATAGTGCCTTCAGAATGTTACAAAAAGCACCTGGATAATGCTAACTGCTTATAACTACACCATAGTCAATACTTTTGTCAAGCACATGACAACATTTTCAGACACCTGTCAGGTTCTACTGATATTTGTAACTTTAAAAGCAGTGACTTTAAAGCGATTCTAGAACCAGCCATCCTGCAACATCACAAAGAGCAACTGTTCCAAAAATGCAGATTCTGAAATTCTATCTTTTTCCCAACTCTGGATCCTCCCTACAGAAAGTAAATTTCTCTTATCATGGGTAACATAACCAAGGGAGCCAATACACCCAAAACTGACTCCAATCCTTTCATTTACACACTTTCTTCCTTGGGGCAGAAGGCATTTAATCCACTGCAGGCAAAATTATATGAAGCCATAATGAAAGATGATAGCACCAATGTTAAAGCTTTACTAGCATACCATCCTGTCAATGAACCGATAACTGTTTGGGATAACCTTATGCGCAGCAGACCACTGTCAGCCCAGGTAACTACTTGATTGATATCACCTTTTTTTTTTTTTTTTTTTTTTAAATCATACCATCTTAAAATTCACAACAAAACTCAGTTAATTCATTAAGCGTCATCAAAAAAAAATCAAGCTTTAAGAAATGGGGGCCTTAAGTCAGGTTTCCAAATCTATATTGGAGAGACTCAGCACCTGACAACCAGACTATTTATTTAGAAATTTTAAATCCAGAGTTAGGAGTGTCACGTTAAAAAAAAATACTCCCGACTAAAACATCTAATCCAAAAAAAGGAGCCCCTTTCAAAAATATGTAAAGGGAAAAAATTGCACAAGTTCTACAACCCTAATATTTAACTTACTTTAAGTCAGCGATTTAGCTGAATCATACAGTCAGGTTATGACTGGACAGGTTACAAGGCATCTGTCACACTTATTCTTATACCTTCTAACAGAAAAGGTTTGTCTCCAATCACTAAATATCCTGAATTTTTGCTGTGGGCCCAGGTCAGAAACAGGTATTTTATAACTGAAGCAATCCTGAGAAAGTTGGATTTTTCAAAATCAATACTTACATTTTTTTTAAATGTGCTGTGTGTGTTAAATTTTGGTTCTTTCAATGTAGGAGTCTAGTTCATATTAAATAAACAGTAATGATACTCCAAGTTAAAGCTGCCAGCTTACTACAGCATTAGACAATCCTGTGCGAGTATTGTAAGAGTGGTAAGCCAACATGAACATTGTAAATATTATACCCATTTGTACAAATCCACTCTGCTGTATTCTAATTCTTTTTGCCTACCTAATGCTGCAGCATAAGCAACAAATTGACTAGCTTGACTGCAATATTAGAAGAATTAGAACCAGTAAAAACACTGCTTTCCTGCAGTATGGTGGCAAAACAGCTAAGGCATCTTGCTACATCTCTCCCTTTTTCCCAATCCCAGCTGCTAGCAGAAAGGGTCAGAGAAGTCTACTTTTAACTTTCAACTGCTCCCACACTGCCAAAGTGGTTCACTTAGAAAACAAATCTGCTGTGCCTGATGTAATGACCAGTCAAGCTGCATTACAGACACAAGTTTCAGCTGTGTAGAAGCTCCCACTTGCAAAGCCAGAGGAGTAAGAGAGGGTATTATGAACAAAATGCTGTAGGATACATTTTGCTTGCAGATGAAAACTCATGAAATTTATATTATTTATTTTATTTATTCCATCTATATTCCATTCTTTTCAACAAAGGCTCAGGGCAGCTTCCATACATTCAGTGACATCTACCAAACACAGATCCCTTCCCCCTCCCACAACCACTCCGGGACCTGGACCTCATACACAGCTGGTTTTTGTGGTCACAAAGGAGTTCCTTCTTCCCTCCCAGGGTCACAAAGGAACAAAAATTGAGATCATTTTTAGTTCACATGCAAGATGCCCATGTGCAGATCTTCATGTGCCAAATTCTGCAATCTATGCAGATCTTCATGTACCAAATTCTGCAATCTATACAAGGCAGAAAAAAAGTACCCCAATACCATTCAGGCAAATGTCCCCTTTTGCTCTTATTCATCAGAAGACCAAGAAAGTTTGGATAATGTTAAGTGTTACCAGGAGCTGTCCACCGGAAATTGTACTAACTAAATTCATTTATTTTCTAAGTCTAACTAGATGACAAAACTCAGAGGTACAGTACCAAATACTTATGTAATTTTTGTTCCATGCAGGACCAGCCTATACTTCCAATTCATTTAGCTGCCAAATACAGAAAAAAAAAGAGTTTGCAGTGTTTATTAGAAGCTGGTGCTGATCCAAAAATAAGGTGGGGAATATGTAGTTGCTCTCATGTTACACTTCATCAAAACGCACACCAGTGCATAATTTTATTCATACATAGTTTTAGGACTTACTTAGTGATTAGGATTTCAGGTGCCCCAGGTGCTAATGCACTGGATTTCCCTTAAATATGTGGTAAAATGATCTAGGTTTATAATTTTGAATACAGGAGTTTAATTTTTCATTTAGATTCAGTTGTCATATGCAGAAACCTGTGCCTGCAGTGAGTTAGATACATTATACAAATCAGGACTGCAATACGAATATGCTGTTATAAATTTAAGCTACCCTGGCTTCAAATTAATAAGACAATATGGCTCACAGGTTGAAAATGAAATAGGCAAAAAAAATGGCAAAAACAGGTTTTAATCCGAATAACAGAAATCAGTAGTTCCCAAATTTCGTTCTGAAGTTCTGAAACCTAGCATAATAAAAGACAGGACAGAAGCCTAAAGAGCAGCTCTAGGACTGGCTGCACGGAGGGAAAGGGTAAGGGCAACAGCCACAAATTAATGGCAAACTGCTCCTTCATTTTTCCCCTTTGTTCTGAACCCCTGCTGGGTCTTGGCAATCCTTAGAATCTGTCGTTCTGTCAACCAGTGGGGTGGAACCTACCACTAGGCCACAATTTACCCATTCAATAGTTGTGAACTATCTTCACTGTTTAAAATATTTCTTTGGATTTTTAGTTGTATTTAGTACATGCAATAGTACATGTATTTAGTATATGCAAGCTACACTGTTTACTGAAGAAGCAGAATTAACTTATTACCTTTTACATTATAGAGATAACAGAGGTTACACAGCACTCCATCTCCTCCTGCTCCACTGGCCAAATATTTATTCAGCAGGGACAGCCATCCTAGACAGACTTCAGAGAAACCTAGCAACTACACAAAGTAATGCAGAAAAGTGTCTCCGTATCTTGTGTGAAAAGGGAGCCGAGATAAATCATGAAATGGGAAGTTATTACAAACACAGCCCTCTACATTTAGCCCTATACTCTGGAGCCTCACAAGCTATATCCATTCTTACAGAGAATGGGGCTAACATAAATGAGACAGATGAGTCTGGCAAGACAGCTCTTCACACAGCTGCAGAGTTACTAAACAAAGAGGTAACGGAAACTTTAATCAACTGTGGAGCAAACATAAATTGCACTGTTCCAACTTATGGAAAAACTGCCCTTCAACTTGCAGTGTGCACTGCATCATCCAAAGCAGGCACAGTTTTAGCTGTTGATATAGACTGCATCCGTTTACTATTAATTAAGGGAGCCAAAGTAAATACCCAGGATTGTGAAGGACGCACAGTTATTCATGATGCTTGTTCAGGAGGCAGAAAAGAAATAGTTGATCTCTTGCTAGATTATAAAGCAGATGTTAACTGTTTAACAAGTCATGGGCAATCTCCACTTTTTCTGTTTCTTCAGCATAAGTCAAATATGAAACGTGTACCACTGTTAAACAAGTTGTTAAACCTCTCATATCCTTTGAAATTAACCAATAATCATGGAGATCTACCCACTGGACTTCTGTTTCCAGAATATCAACAGGAAAAAGAATTTCTTGTAAGATTGTCAAAAACTATGTTGTCCCTACAGGACATCTGCAAAATCACTGTCAGAAGAATATACGGGGAGAAAAACAAACATTACTTGAAAAACCAACTCCCAGTATCCATGTGGAACTCTTTGTACACTTACCAGGACTTCACACAACGTTAGCAAATGAAACCCATGATTTAACTGTCACAAAGTTCAAAAGTTCTGAAATATTTTGTTCAATATTTATGACACAATTAGTTACAGCTATACAAGAAGGCACACTGAAATGCTGTTGTTTCCAAAACTTTAATGAAAAATTAAACTTGAACCATGAAACTTACCAATGCTGCATGTTTTAAAGCCACTCTAACCTCTCTTAAATTTAATTACAATAATCCAGAATGTTCGGCGTTTCATTTTGTTTTATATTTATTGGTTTCTTCAGTAATCAACACTTTAAGAGCAAGATCTGCAAACGGTTTCAAAGTAAATGGGTGGGAATAAGATATTCACTTTGTTTTATATGGTCCTTTCAGTTAAAGTAGGAACAAGCAAGACACATTCTATGATTCATTTGTAAAAAAGGATGTGCTGTAAAATTGGGAAGATTGTCAGATATTCTTCACACAAAGCTCAAATAAACCTCAGCTATAGAGTTGCTATCACTGCCCCCATAATGTAGACTGTTTCTCCCTTCTTTAGCCTCTTAATAATGATTTTTAACTTACTTTAATATCTCGATGCATTACTCCCATGCGGTGGATATGGTACACTCCTTCTAGCAACTCCTTAAAAATTTTTGAGGTCCAGTGGACATCCACAAGATGGTAAGGACCTTAAAACAATTTAAAATATTAATTATTTCAACTAATTTTGTTAACATTGAAATGCAAAGGTTAAACATGGACTTTCTGTAATCAATACAGAAAACTACAGTAGAACTCAGATCATTCATGTCCAGGTGGTTTGCAACCTGCTTAATTCACAATGAGCCAAGTTAAGGACAAGCTCCTCAGTACTTTGCTGCTGCTTTTACTTCAGAGAGCACCATTTCTCCACTCAGTTGGAGCTATTCAGTGGTCCTGTTCAGCTTATCAGAAAAGCAGCACCCTTTGAAATAAAAGTTGCAGCAAACTATTGAGCAACTTATTCTTAGCTTGGCTAACCTAGTTACTTCACAAACTCTCCTCATCACAAGTGAGTAATAACCCAGTTCAGCAAAGGGGTTTTACAAGGAACAATCTCTAAAATATAGTAGGAAGACTATTCTCCACTCATTTTACCATTAAAGTATGCCAAGAAAAAAGTAAAACTATTTATATGATTTTTTAATTTTATTAACTGCTGTTCTCTGAAAATGCCTAGTGTGATGTTATCCGTGGGTCCATAAACCTTCATCTGATTCTAAACAGGAATACTCCAAATTCAAAACTAAAAAAGGAAATGGTTCCAAAGAAGGGCATGAATACCAATATGAACCTCACAGGAGAGGCTTCTTTCTAATTCCCTGTCTGTTTTTATCTTGTATAGTTAAAAGCAACAACAAATCTAATCTAATCATAGATGTTCTCATTATGCGTGTCAATTTCTTTTTGAACCTATTAAGTACTAATGCTAACTTTCAGCACTTGTACCACTATTGGCTCATGCAGACATAGCAGCTGCAGTACAATAGCCAATATGCTCTCTCAAGTGGCTACTCCCTGTTTTAAAAACTAGCTACAAGTTATGTCTATCTATAGTCAAATCCGACAGATGTAAATAGCCTTCCCAGCAAGGGTGGGCAAAATAGGGCTGACCTGGCCCAGTCACCATCCAGTTATGGCATGTTCTGCCGCCCCCGGGCATGCAGCTGGGCTGGGTGGCTGTGCAGCTGAACTGCCTTTCTACGCAGTCCAGGTGGCAGTGGTTCCTTCCGGCTGTCGCTGGCCCCAGCCCCATGCTACTAGCGGGGACCTGCACTGCACCGCCCTGACCCCGTGAACCCTGCGCCTGCTCCAGGCTCAGCAGCAGTGATGCAGAGCTGAAGCTGTTGCTCAGCACAGGGGAAAAGCGGCCCTCCCCTTCACTGCTGCTGGCTGTTCCTGCTGCAGCAACCTGGAGCCCATGTCAAAACGCCCTGCATCTGCTCTGTGCTGCCACTGCTGCCCTTCTGGGCTGCCCAGAGGCAGTAGTGATAGGAGCACAGAAGCAGGGCAGCCCAGTGCAGAGCAGGCTCCAGGCAGCTACAGAAGGAATGGCCAGCAGTGGCAAGGGTGTGGGGCCACTTTTCCCCCATACTGAGCAACAGCTTCTGTCCTGCACTGCTGCTCCTCAGCCTGGGCAGGAAAGCTCGGAGCAGACGCAGGGCGCATGGGGTCGAGGCTGTGCAGTGCAGGTTCCCACCAGTTCCATGGAGCTTGAACCAGAGGTGGCGGTAGCCGGGAGGAGCCACCATCACCTGGGCTGCCTAGAAAGGCAGTCTGGCTGCAGAACCGCCCCAGCTACACTGCATGCCCGGGGGGCTGCAGGACATGCCACAGGCAGGTGATGTGGTGCCGATGTGAGGCAGGCTGGGTCGGGGCTGCGTCCAGGTTTCAGCTGATCTGCTCTGGTGGGGATGAGTCTGGAGCAGCAACAGGGCAGAGCTGGGGCTGTGTGCAGTTGGCAGTGGTGGGGAGGCACCACAGGGAGCGCAGGCACTGGGCTGTTGTGGGGCAGGTGCTGACCAGCACAGAGGGGCACGTATAGCGGGCTCCCATGCATACCCAACCATATCCACAACCCCTCCCCGACAAACCTCACCACCACACCCTCCACACAGTCACACACCCCACTGGTTCTCAACCTTTCAGACCTCACGTACCACCTGCCGATCAACGCAGCAAAAGTGAAACCGGAAGTCCCACCATGGCACTTCCGGTTTCACTGCCATGAACTGAGTCCCACTTTTT